TCTTCCCCTTTTAATACTCGATCCTCGATCCTCTCGACCGACATCTCCCCCCTTTTCTGTCCCCATCTCTTACAAAGAAAAAGGTCTATCCGTATTGACTTTACACACCGGACTTATACTGAAAAGGGGGAGGGGGTGCTGGGAACACGCATAATTATGCGTATCCTAAATAACATTGAGTTTGGGGGGGGGGGGGGGGGGGCTTCTGAGCGAGTCATTCGTTTACGGTAAACCTCCCGAATTTCTCGCAATGTCATTTATTTAAAGTAAACATAGCTTTGCATTTGTAATTTTCGTATGAAATCTCATTTTGATAAATTATCGCATTAGATTTTGTGTGCGTGCGTATCATACTAGCGCATGACGTATAAGTTCCTATTGAGCCAATCAAATGCAGCGGTAGGATGACTAGGTAAGGAAAAAAAGGAGCTCTGCCGACCTCCCCCCCCTCCCCCTCTCTCCCCCCCCTCTCTCTCTCTCTCTCTTCTCTCTCTCTCTCTCTCTCTCAACAATTTCTTCTTCTTCTTCCAGCTATTTTTCGTCTTCTTCCATTATGTTTTTCTATTTTCTCACTGTTAAAAAGAGGTGTGAATTTAATCTTCTCTTGGTATCAATGAAACTAGGTCCTATTTTAATACTCTGCAACGTGATAGTATATTTGATCTTTATAAAATATCCAGGTCCTTTTTTTTCCTCGTAATTATTTACCTTTAAACAAATATTTGTGGATGTTTTATGGTTTTAAACCAAACTTTAATGGATATTTGATACTTATCAATATCAAGGCGATAAATTTTGTTTTGGGTAATTTGTTTTGTTGTTTATTTTCGTTGTTTGTTGGTTTGTTTTTTGTTTGTCTTTTTCAGAGAAAATTAATTTTCAAAATGTGTTGATCAATGTATTTTGATACTGTCAATTAGTTCATTAAGGTGGGGAAAATAACTGACATAATATAGCCTGTTTTGGAAATGAACTCTTCAAATATCCTCAGACATTACAGTTATTGAAGTGTTGGAACATATCCTTCATTCTCTTGTAATGGAGAAAAGGAAATGATGCCCATTTAGAGCCGGCAGTATGTATTTATCTATTTCAATTTGTGAGTGTATGGGTGAGTGAGTGTGTGTATGTGTTTTGTTTTGTTTTTTGTTTCTTGCTTCATGTTGATAATAAGAAATGATCAAATAAATGACATGAGAAAAATAAAAGCCCTTACTTGTACATCGAAATTTATTTAAATTTATGAAGAACACATTACAATAACGACAGGTTATTTCCAAAATGAATTTGACAATACTGGGTCCCGTCTTATAAAGAGTTGCGATTGATCCGAATCAATCGCAAGTTTGCAGTCTTCTGTCTCTGAATTGGGTACTTGGTTGCGACTGACAGTCGCAAATAACTTGCGATTAATCGCAAATAACTTGCGATTAATCGCAACTGTTTATAAGACGGGACCCTGGTGATACATAACTACATACATTAAAGAGTGAAAGTAATACATCCAGCGTCATTAGACGAATATATGTAGTGAACAAATGAGTCATTATAAAGTGGACATGGTCATAAGTAGGACATTTTCGTGATGTCCTGTTAACGATTGAACAATAGAATTACTGTCCTTTACGTACGTTTGCAGACAGGGGAAACTTAAAGGCCTCCCAAGAAACAATAGGTTTAATCATTAGTAATTAGTTTAATTAGTTACATTTTTTTGAATTTAGGATTATAGGTTTAGGGTTAGGGTTAGGGTAATACACCAGTTTTTTTATGATGTCCTGTCAATATAACATTCAGGTTTATATATATAGATGTCCTTTAATAAAACAAGTAGGGTTATACAAATGTATGTATATATTTGTTTGTTTGTTAATACATGGATTAACACTGGTATATGTAGACATAGACATAGATCTACATAGTTCGTTTAAATATAGGCCTATATGGAAAACGCATATCTCGAGGTGAAGTTGCTGATGGGAACTAGAAGTTAGTAAAAATGTCGTTCACACCCAGCTCCGGTCTCTGGCAACATTTTATATTCCTCTTTTAATTCTCCATGTCAACATTTATCCTTTGAATTTGAATATACATGTACAAATATACACTATAATACGGTACCAGGTAAAAAGGTTAGAGGCAACAATATCAGATGTCACCAGCCTACTGTAGCCCATGGGGCACTGTCCTACAAAACAAATTATAATTCCTTTTCCGTAGAGTAGCATCGTTTCAAGATTTTTATAAAAAGCTCTAATTGACACTCCCACACACCCTAAGGCCTAAAATAAAAACTTGTTGCATTGCCCTTTGTGTGCCAAAACATGGGTCGGTCGGTCGGAATTTTTTTTTTTTTAACTTTTTTTTTTGTCGCCCTCTTTGGGCCGATATTTTTCAGATTTGATTTTTTTTTTCCCGCCCTCTTTTGGCTGATATTCCTCAATTTGTAATGCTTGAATACGTGTGTTTTAGCGTCATCATTCCATTGATATCTTTTTCACCTGATAATTATCCATGGCTTGCACGAGTGAGAATTTAGGAATAATTTGATTTTATGCATTTATATCCCATTTAAACAAACAAAATACCTATCTTTTTATTCATTAATTTTTAAAAAAATCTACAAAACGGTAAAAAAATAAAACCTTTTTTACAATACCGACCATAGATTTTCAGATTTTTGGGTCGGTCACAAAGGGCAATACAACAAGTTTTTATTTTAGGCCTAGTGGTCGCTCTAGTTTTGAACAGCAACCCTAGAACCCCCTCCCCCTATTTAGTATTTTGGAACCAAGCATGTAGGCTCATAGTTATTAGATACAGTTGAATAAGTTGATCTATCGAGAGGAATGGTGAAAGCCGAATGTAATCAAGCCCATTGATTGTATAGAGTTCACCCTTACCTCTGACATTTGTACTTCTGAAATGTTTACCTCTGGCATTTTTACAGTTTTACATTTTTACATTTTTACATTTTTACATTTTTACATTTTTACATTTTTACATTTTTACATTTTGGCATTTTTACATTTTACAGTATCATCTTAAGTATTCAATACATTACGAATAAAATTATGATAACAATAAAAAGTATTAATAAAAATAAAGATAATAATAATAAAAAGAAGAAAAAACTTTTAATTAAAAGGTTTGAGAATAGAATGGAGAAATGTTTTTGAGCAGAAGCAATCATCACTACGATGATCATGAACTAAAGAGAAACGTATGTTATAGGTCTCGATCGTAATAGTAGGATAGTTACTGGCACATTTTACCCATTATAATCTCTTCTGTGAGTCGTGAAAGCATGATAGCGTACATGATGGTATATATTCTATCCGCTGTGATCTCATTTATAGGTCGTGAAAGGAGGACAGCTTATTCTAGTATCATATTTTTCCCACTAGTATACAAATAATGAATGGTCATGAGTTCAATAGTGCGAATATTTTCATGAGTTGAAAGATTAACATTCTATTCAACGAGGCGTCAGCCGAGTTGAATAGAATGAAAATATTCGCACCATTGAACGAATGAAAAACATTCATTATTTGTTTTATACAACATCGAAGAAGATCTAATAGAACGTTAATCAACAAATTATGCTTTACTCCTTATATTAAAGATAAATTCCAGTTGGATTCAAGCCTTCTCGATTACATTCAGATTGCCTTAAGCTTCGCGTCAGATACACGCAGTGATACGCGCGCGCACGGCAGAGAGGTACGCAGTCTGCATATTACCAAAAATGCACGGCGCATATAACCAAAAATGCACGACCGTGCAATATACCATCTATTGAATATCATGTGACCAACAATCCTCCAATCAAATGACAGGGATCCACGTAGGTGTTGTATAAAATAGGATAATGACTACTAAATTGTGGTATATTCTACCCATAGTGTCACCACGCCCCCCCCCCTTTCCCCACTCCGGGGTCGGAAGTACCGCATGCGTGTTCCCAAAATGTCCGGTAAAGGGGTACTTTTCACGAACCAAAGTCCGGCTCGTAGTACACAAAAATCCGGCCCGTATTGACTTTACACACCGGACTTAGGGGGGTGTCTTCAAAAGGAGGGAACACGCATATGCGTACCCTAAATTACACTTGAGTGGGGGCGGGAGTGTCACCTTCTGCTCACAGGGATCTGTTATAGTGCAGAAGAGCAAGTAGTTACACAATCACGGCCACAAGAATTTCGTTTCCGGGTCGGGAAAGTTACATAGTTAATATTATATCCTGCATCAAAAATGTATTGTTTTTGACTGGTTGAGAGCTTTTCACGTGACAAGAAATATTTCAACCATTTTAAGGTTGCTCTGAAAAACGTACTATTTGGGGGTACTATTTGGGAGAACTATTTTGGAGTGAAAATTGTGTATGATGATTTTTTTTTTTAATTCTTAAATGTTATTAAGATTTTTCAAATGTTCAAATGTTAATTTTTGTATACAATGTTTTTTTTTTATAATAAATATAATGAAATCTAAAATGTTCAAAAAACGATTATTTAAATAATTCTTTATGTTTTTGCTGTTGATTCAGGATATAAAACAAGTATACCATGCCTTTTCTGTTGAGGTACTGGTTAAAACTATGGGCCTCGGTGACTACGACAGTACCATTTACTCCGGGGCTGCGTCCCTCACCACAATAGTACTATTGGAGTCATGTCTTGCTCATAGTTTCAACCAGAACCTCTCAAGACAGGGTATATACACCGGAGTGTTGGCTCAGTCAGTAGAGCGTCCGCCTCACAACCGGGAGGTCGTTGGTTCGAACCCCGGCCGCGTCATACCAAAAGACGTTTAAAGATGGGAGTTGCTGCTAGCTTGTTTGGCGTTCAACAATAAGGGATAGAGCAACGTCGATCTGGCGCTGCTCAGTGGCTGCCGGGCTCACGATCAATTGGGCAAAAAGAATTTCCGTTTCAGTTTGATAAAATTTGGAGTGGACTTTAAAAAAGATTATTATTATTATTATTATTTGTATATTATTAGTTGGATCCGAACATTGGCGCATTTTTCTGCGTTTTACCTATTAGAATATCCTTGAGGGCAGAACGGAACTTGGGATACTGCGATGTGTAGATGAAAGGGTTAATGGAGGAGTTGAAGAAGGTGGCTAGGTTCAGGATCTGACGGAGAGTGCTGAGGCTGTAGTCTTTGGCTGATCCTTGAAAAGAGATAATTACCCATGTGATCTGGCTTGGAGCCCAACAGAGAATGAAGACGACCACCACAATGAGCATGATCTTGATGATGCGATTCCTGGCAACGATGTGGTAGGACTGACCTGACTGCTGCGACCCGGGCCCATGAAGATGACGGGATTTGAGATGCAGTATAGAAGCCATTGCTATCTGGGTAATTATCATCACAACGGTCGGAATAACCAAACGTATTACAAAATTTATCACGGTAAACACTTTCAGTGCCTTTATTCTTGCTGGAACAGATGCAGACGCTTCACAATTTCTTTCATTTGAGAAGCTTTCCTGCAACATGGCCTTGATATCGATGAAGTAGTAGCTGCAGGAAAGAAGGGAAAACAACCATGTTAAGAGGATGAAAATGTAAACTCGGCGGTTGGTGAAGATTTTCCGAAAATGGAGAGGACGGTAGACCGCAACAAGCCGCTCGACGGACAATGCCATGAGGATGAAGCTTGAAGTAATGACACACACCCAAGTGTGATATTTGTAATGAATTATTCGGCAGTACAAGGCTCCAAGTATCGAAGCAGGTAATTGCGATGCCTGTGGAATTGGGATATTACAAATTGATGTCAGCAAGTCAGAGACTGTGAGAGCCATTATGAGAATGTCTGTCGAATTCGAGGTGAACTTGCGGGTTATCAGTACAATGACCACAAGGAGATTACCAAAGACACCCACCAGTGATAGGATCAGTTGCATGATGATGTTCCAATCCCAAGAGAATTCCCATTGCCATCCACCTGTTTCCATGGAAACTGTCTCTGTCGATATGTAATTGAAAGTAATAGTGGTAAGCTCGCTGAGGAAGTCTTGTACGTCTTCTGTTTGGTGTGATCTTTGGTACGACGTCACAAAGTCCTTCTGCGATGTTAGCATAGAGGTTTCCACCATGGCAGTGGAAAATGGTGATGTCTTCTGCGTTGCATCGGTCGGAGCAAAGTTGCCCAAGATCCCTTCCGATGAAGATGGCCGTACACTTGGACCATCTGCATCTGTGATGATCCATGTTGTTTGCCCTGTAGTATCTGTGGTATATCTAGCTGAATTAGCAATGATTGTCATGGAAATCAACATTGTACGAAACATTGTGCGACCGACACTATGTTTAACAAACTTCGTCATGTTTAATGCTGGCTTCAGGCTTTTTCTCAGAGGGATCGCTATTTGAATCGCTATTTCAATCTTTATTCCAATTCATAAAAATACAACAACATCAAATATAAAACACAATAGCATTATATACAACATTTAGTAAAAATGGTACAAAAAATAAATACATAAGTTTCATAATAATATTGTAAAAATGAATGGAAAAGGAGGCGTACGTAAAAAGCCAAGGGTAGGCTTGTAAGAGTGTACGACCCTACAATTTAAATAATGTATGAATATATATTGCAAAAAAATAACAAGTACCAACAATACTGTATCATCATATACCAAAACACAAAATAAAAAATCAACAAAAACAACAACAACAAACAAATCAATAATTTCCAATCAAATATTTTTTATATTGCCTTTTAAATGAGTTATTAAATTGAATATTAAAGTTACTTAAATTTAGACTATTCCAAAGGATTGGGCCTGTGTGGCGTAATGAGTATTTTGATTTATTATTTAAATACGTCCAACGGTGAAAATGATTGCAAGATCTTGTATTATAATTATGGATATTTCTATTTTTTACAAACATATTCATTAAATATGGGGAGAGTGTTTGAGAGTGAAAACGTTGCATAAACGAAGCAATTTGGATCTTATTTATATCTTGTAATTTGAGAGTATATAATAATTTAAATAATGTGGAAGTAGAAGCAGTATACTCGGACTTCGTACATACTCGTATGGCTTTCTTTTGTAACATTATTAGTTTATGTAAATGGCTCGAATATGTGTTACCCCATATTGAGTTACAATACGACAAGTGTGACAAAACATAAGCATTATAAAGAAGAAATAATATGTTACTAGGCAATTCATACTTCAATCGACTTAAAATCCCTATGAATCGTGAAATCTTCAAGCGTACTAAATCAATGTGATCCTTCCAAGACAAACTACTATTTAATACTACACCTAAAAACTTAACAGAATCATAGAATTTCAAAGGAACTGCATCTATTTTCAACAATATATCATCGACATTAAATTGCAAACCACCCTTTTTAAACAGAACACATTGGGTTTTACTAGTATTTAAAGAGAGCTTATTACATTTAAACCATGCTGATATGTGGGCAAGACTTGTATTCAAAGATTCAACTAAAGCTTCAATATCATTATGAGAGGCAAGGAGTGAGGTGTCATCCGCATACAAAATACAGTCACATTCATGGCAAGAATTCACAATATCATTAATATAAATTAAAAATAGTAATGGTCCAAGAATTGACCCTTGAGGGACACCTGTGTTTATATTACCGAAAGACGAATTATGTGAGTTATAAACTGTAAATTGTTGTCGATGTAATAAATAAGATTGAAACCATTTTAAGGAAAGACCTTTAATGCCATAATGCTGCATTTTTTGTAATAAAATATCGTGTGAAAGGGAGTCAAAGGCCTTGGATAGGTCCATGAATACGCCAATAACACTTTTACCTTCATTAAGTTCTTTAACTATTCTATCATGAATTTCAATGACTGCCATGTCTGTTGAGTAATTTTGTCGGAAGCCATACTGACTATCATATAAAAAGTTATGCTGCAATAAATAGTCATATAATCTATTAAAAACTAACTTTTCCAAAATTTTAGAAAAACAAGGTAAAATTGAAATTGGTCGATAATTTGTAAAAAGACTCGGGTCATCCTTTTTAAAAATTGGCACAACCTTAGATATCTTCATCTTAGAAGGAACACAACCAGTGCGTAATGATGAATTACAAATATAAAGTAGTGGTTCAACAATAAAAGGTAGTATATGTTTCACAACTATTGAATCAATTTCATCAAAACCACAACTTTTACCAGATTTAAGATTTGACTTTACAATATCTATTATTTCTTCTTTTGTAACTGGTTTAAAAAATAATATATGTGGCGATGGTTGGCCCATATAAACATTAAATGTATCAATTGCATTTTCATCCTCCGCAATACAATTAGCAATATTTGATCCAATGTTCACAAAATATTCATTAAAGTTTCCCGCAATGTCATCCGGATTACTAATGTAAGAACCATTGTGGCAAAAAGATTTTCCTTCTTCCACAGCACTCTTTTGCTTTCCTAAAATTTCATTAATAAGTGTCCATGTTTTTTTAGAGTTATTTTTTACAGAGTCAAACTTTTTAAAATAATAATCCCTTTTTGCTCTGCGTAAACGAGTTGTGACCATATTACGGAGCTTTTTGTATTTATCATAGTTTGCTTGAATCGATCTTTTCAAGTAATTCTTATACAATTTATTTTTCGTTTTAATAAGTTTTAACATATCAAGAGATACCCACGGTTTTCTATTTCGTTTGCGTTTTTTAATATGTTTAGTTTGTACAGGAAAATGTTCATTATAATAGCCAATAAACTTTTCATAAAATACATCATAGGCCCTTTCAGTATCATTCTCCTGGTATACTTCAGACCAATCAGCATTTGCAAGATCAACACTCAGCCTATTACAATTTTCAATAGTGACTTTTCTAAATGAGAATGACTTTGATTTACTGATATTTACCCTGTCTAAAAAGTGTGAAATATAGAAAATAGGAAAGTGGTCTGTTATGTCTGTTACAAAAATACCGGAAATAATGGAGCTACAAAAGACGTTCGTATAAATATTATCAATATTTGTTGCTGACCTTGAATTAACACGGGTTGGTCTATTTATTATAGGATAAAAACCAGATGATGCGACTGTATTGATAAAATCGAATATTTGCGAGTTTGTGTATTTCTTCATCAAATCAATATTCAAGTCGCCCATTAAATATGCACGTTTATTTTTTATTTCATTATAATTCATTAATTTATCAAAGAAAGAAGAAAACTGAATAACGTTTGATTTAGGTTGACGATAAATAATCGCTACAACAATATTTTTAGATGTTTTGCAATCTATTTCTATACATAAACAATCAACACCTTCGCATTGTTCAGAGAACTGGACAAGTTTATAATTCAAGTCCTTTCGAATAAATAGACCAACTCCACCACCACGTCCGGACGGACGGTCAACATGCACAAATGTATAACCTTCTATTACAAAAGGAACATGTGAATTGGAATTAATCCATGTCTCTGATATTCCTATGACTGAGAATTGATATTGAAGATTAGAAAGATAGGCATGTATTTCTTCAAAATTACGAAACATACTTCGGGCATTAAAATGAATTATGCTAAAGTTTTGATTAACTGAATTATCTATAATTTCATTAAATTCAGATGATAAATAATACTTTACAGGAGGATTTGAATGTGTGTCTTCTTCATTTTCATTCAAACTTTCATCTTCAAAATTAAAGCCATTTAGAGAGACATCATATTGATTTACAGGTGAGAATAATCGTTCAAAATCTTCATTATTAACTTCTTGAAAGGGGAGACAATTTACAAAATTTAAATCATCTATATTTGAGTTTAATTCGTTGGCAATACAACTGTATACATTAAAGTCAGATGTATCACAGTATTTAACGGGCATGCAAAACTAACTAAAACTAAAATAAATAAATAACAAAGAAAAAACCAAACAACAGAACAACAAAGCGAGGATAATTATTGTACATTTACCAATTCAATAGACCTGACTCGAAATGCAGCAAGGAAACAAGGAGAAATCTCTTGTCGAAACGTATCGGGCTTCAAAAAATAATATAATGTTGAAGTCGGATACATTTAAGATGCTTTTGAAGAATAAGCTACCGTTGTACCTCTTCGATGGATCTGCATTGAAATAAGCAAACAAAAACAAATGATAAGGACGCAAACAAAAACAAAAAATCGATAGTACAAACCACAAAGTCATTACTGGCCTACATTGAAAGCATCGCGGATTACTCAAAACGTTAATCAGAAAGAGGAATCATATATCATATATCTTTCAAAATAAAATGAGCTTATATCTTAACACAATATTAATGTATACATTTTTGCAACTGTTAAATGCCTTTTAAAAATATCTACTCTATATATTATCTTATCAATCAGTTTTGGGAACTCTACCTTCCGACGTCGGTTAATAAGCAACCAAGTTAGATAAAAGTATAACAGTGTAATAACAACAGCACTAACCATTTACAAATTATGGGGTCATCCCCAAACACCAACTAATACTTGTTGAAGGCGCCCCGCACCCAAGTGCCCCCTTTTCACGTTGATGAATTGCCTCCTTTTCCTACAGGTAATTGTTCCTCTTACTTTCTAATAAGTGCCCCTTTCCATTTCTCATAAGTACCCCTCTGCACCTCCGATTAGTGCCCCTATTTAAATCTGATGGATGCCCCTTTTACTTTGACAAGTGCCACGTTTACTTTAAAATATAAATGCACCTTTCCTCTTTTCAGAATTGCCCGTTTTCACATCTAATGAGTGCCCCTTTTTCATGTAGAAGCGCGGATAAATGCTCATGTTACTTCGACAAATGCCCCTTTCCTTTATAATAAGTTCCCCTATTCCTTTGAAGTAAATGCCTTTTTTATATCTGCTGAGTGCATCTATTTAGGTATAAAAAGTACCCGCTTTTCACCTCTGATAAGTGGCGTATCCCCTACTGTTATACGCCCCTTTTTCATCAATAATAAGACAAAATCCCTTCACTCTTCTTACTAATGACCCCCTTCAAATATGATAAGTTCCCCTTGTTACTTTTGATATAAAGTGTCCATTTTCATTTCTAATAATTGTCCTCTTACAAATATTGCCCTCTGTCGCGTACGAAGTTGGCCATTTGCCGTCATATATAGCCATATCTAGATTTGTCAAATGGGAGCAGCTTTGTTTAGTAACAGGTACCCTATGGCTACCGCCGCGATGAAAGGCAATGAAACCGGGATAGAGGCACAATGCCCTAAATTTCATTAGAAATGTGCCCTTTTTTGTTTGCCTCAATGACAGCTCTACTCAACTTCTCAACAGGTATCTTCCAACCTATCACCCTTTATTCTTTGTTTTTTTACTTAAACAGAGAGCGATTCGTATGATTAGTT